CCCCCCCCCCCCAATATATCAAATAATTTGGAGTAATAGGATCAGAGATTTGAATTTTGGAAATGGAGAGCATGGTTCCCGAAAAGAAAGACGAAGTCCCAAACTCATAATCTGATTACAGACGTATATATTAAAATCATCTTTTCCTCTTCATTTTTTTGGCTTTATGCTTTGACAAAATTGATGACTCCGAGATTTTGCAGTCAATTGTGGCGACTAATAAGAAGAGCAGCGAGGGACCAATAAGATGGTATGTAAAATATTAACTCGTGTCTTGATTCCACTCTATACTTGTCTTGTCTTGTCTTGTGATTAAGGTTACATGTTGCTATACTTCTGTGGATATGTTGTAGGTGTTCGGAGATTGGCAACACGATTATTAGTATATACTACTTCATAGATCTTTCATATGACAATGATGTAAGATTCTTTTACATGTTCTTAGTTTTCTTTTTATGTTCTTCTCCATACTTCATATTTCGCGTTTCACTTCAAGAAATTTCCTTATTCCATTAAGGCCCCGTTTGGCATTAGCGTTAGTGTTTTGAAAAAGGCTATTCGACGGTAGCCTTTAGCGTTACCATTTTCAAAGCTAATCTACATCATCAAAATTCTATACAAAATGCTAATCGAAAACATTGTTGCCAAACCAGCCCTAAATTATTTGTGAAACAACAGCAAAGTGACTTTTTTCTTCCAATGATTTTTTTCCCATGAAACATTATTTGTCTCTAACGTTCACAAATCTTGATTCTTTTTTTCAGAAGATGTGAAGGCTAATCTCCCAGGGAAGACTAACCCTCTAGGGATCCTCTAACTAATATGAGTTCCCTCAGCATACATACTTGTATAGATATATACTCACCTGAATGAGATTCTTCGAGATGGCTGTAGCTGTTGATCAACACAATTATGGTTTCAAGCTATTTGGCAGACCTCCAAGATGCAAACTTCAATCTTACTCTCAGCTTGATTTCTCTAATCTCGAATCAAGCCAAACAAATCCCACATGTCCTCAAGAGCATGCTGCTTTTGAATTTCCAAACATGCACAAAAGTTACTCCAGCCCTTGTTTATCCCTTTCCAAAAAAGTTGATGATGAGCTTGACACATATAATCCTCCAAGAATTGAAATCATAGCAGGCCATGGAGCTCCGCGTGTGCATGCTCTGGTTATCGAGGTTGCTATAATCTTGGCCTCTGGAATAATTCCCGAGCCAGTACCTAGTGGCCTTGGTGGCGCTTACTTCCTTCAATCTAGTAATGGCAACAGAGTAGCTGTGGCAAAACCAATCGATGAGGAGCCTCTGGCCATCAATAACCCAAAAGGCTTTGGCGGTCGGATGTTGGGTCAACCGGGCCTAAAGCCCTCCATCAGGGTAGGTGAAACCGGCTTTCGAGAGTTGGCTGCATATCTCCTTGATCACGGTGGGTTTGCCGGTGTCCCCCCTACTGCCCTTGTCAAGATTTCTCATGTGGCATTCAATATAAATACTTCCAAATCGATTTCGCCTCCACCTTATAAGATTGCCTCGCTTCAACGTTTCGTGGACCATGATACCGATGCAGGAGAGATTGGTCCTTCATGCTTTTCAGTTGCTTCAGTTCACAGCATTGGGATTCTAGACGTGAGACTTCTTAACCTTGACAGACATGCCGGAAACATTCTATTGAAACACAGACAAGAAGGTTATGCTGTTGAATCAGCAAAGCTTGTCCCAATAGACCATGGTCTTTGTTTGCCTGAATCACTTGATGATCCATATTTTGAGTGGTTGCATTGGCCTCAGGCCTCTATTCCATTCTCAGAGTCTGAAATTGAGTACATTAACAGTCTTGATCCTTTCAAAGATGCAGAATTGATAAGAAATCGGTTGCCATCTATAAAAGAATCGTCTATTCGAGTTCTTGTAGTTTGCACCATCTTCTTGAAGTCCGCTGCTGCTTTTGGGCTTTGCCTTGCAGATATTGGTGAAATGATGACTCGAGAATTTTGTGGAGGGGAGGAAAGGTGGAGTGTTCTAGAGACTCTTTGTTCGAAGGCCAAGGCCAGTTTGGAGACTACTAGAACCATCGTTGTCAACACCAACGTTGATCAAAATATAGATGAAGAAGACTACGAAGTTTTTCAATTGGATGATGAATCTGAAAGTGTCATCATTGAAGAAGGCAGCTTAGGCCGTGCAAAAATCTTGCAGAGCACAGTAATCAGTGGAAAACCACCAAAAATCCCGAGGTTTTCATCACTAGGGTCTATGAATACGTTGGATGATAGTGTCATAAATTTCTTCTGTCAAAAAAGTTCTGGTGATGGTGGTATCAAAGAGGATGATGAGTATTGTAATGCTAGAGAATTTCAGAAGGGTGGTGGATTGATGAAGAGCAAGAGCTATTCTGCAGCTACATACCAGACTGATTGTGAAGGTATTTGTTTTGGTGAGATTAGCAGTACAGAATGGGAGATGTTCTTGGAGGCTTTCCAGAAAATCTTACCAGAGGCTTTTGAGGTCAGAAAGTGTGGTGGCTTGTCAAAGCAAAGGTTGGGATCTTCATACTAATCCTTTAGCAGGAAGAGAAACATGGATCCCAAAAGCTTACTGCCATGTATCTAGTGTTCAATATAGGTGTAAAATTAAAGCTGAATTGACTTCATTTAGGATGGTGGAAATGTGGTGGTCATGTTGTCATCCTTTTCACTCATTTTCTCCCCTATGATTTAAAAAAAAATCTCTTTTATGTTTTCCCCTCCTTTTTTTCTTTTTTACCCTCCCTATGTGTGGCCGAACCTGTAGAGAAACTGTCACATTACATTGTAAGAGAACTGCTGTTATTATAGGGAGTAAAAGAAAATGTTAGATGATTATTTGGCAAGCTTCATTTACTGCTACTGATGTTTAATTACTCTCCCTTGATGAAAGAAGATATTTTACAAGGAATGGAATGAATTTAGAATGGTCAAGAAATTCGATGCAGTACAATGTGTTTGGTACTATTTGCTTTTCTTGAAAGCAAGTTCTTATTATTTGGCTTTGTTTCCAAGGAGTCCTATTGAAATTCACACAATTGCTACTGCTGTTTCGAAGGCCCCATTTTCCTGCAATTCAAGTGGAACTCTTTCTGCTTCACTTCCTTGATTCGTATCGAGCTCTTTTTTAGGGTAAGATCTTCCGCTACCACAGATGAGATCTTTGATTGCATTTATAAGCGATTTATCCTTGAGCAAGGACTCCATTGTTACATGCACACCTGAGTGAAGAAGAAAAATGGTTGGAATATGCATGAAGTCAGCCTCTTCAGGTCAGTTTGTTAATATTTGGTATTGCTGAATAAAAGTATTGCAATTTGTTACACATATAGATTTATATTTACTCAAGTAAATTTTCAAAAAAAATTACTCAAGTAATTTATGACTGAAAGTATCGCAAATGCAATTCTTTTTTTATACTGGGGTGTTATTTTTCATTAAATAACACAACCAATTTTGTCAAAACTTGAGGTGCTTTCAAGCCACATATTTGTAGAATTTTCCATCAAATTTTTTTAGAGAAGAGGTGTTTAAAGCTCTTTAACAATAACAAACTACGCCTTTGTCTCAGTTCTTAATACATTTTGAAATGAGTGACAAATAATAAAACCAAACTAGGAAAAAGATGACATCATAAAACAGAAGTGTGGATAAATGATGAGATGAACTTACGGTATCGCCAGTAGTGTCTTGGATTCGTGGGATCATTTATGGTCTCCTGGAATGCAGGGCGAGTCGTGTACTCTTCTTTGAGTGCCAGCAAATCCTGTTCATTCACACCATAAACAATGATTCCAACTCCATTAAGGCTGGCTGTGTTCCAGTAATGAGTTTTCATGAGAGGATGATAGTGTTTGGCAACGAATATACTACCAAATTGTCCCCTCCATGAAAACTCTAAACGCTCTAGTATTGTTTATGCTTCTGGACAGAGCTTAAATCTCATCCCTCCCTTGTCCAAATGAACTTCAAATAATTCTTTTCAATGAAAAACATGTAGATACATTTTCTCTTTAGAAAAAGAGAGGACAGTATATCTGAACTGACAAGACCCAAAGTCAAAGAAGGAAAATACCTGGAGAGGAAAAATGGACCACATTGATGGTGACTCAACATGCTGCTGCAAGATATAGTAGGCAATTTCAGGTGTACACTGATCAGGTGGCAATTCATCGGACCCCACAACATGTTGGAAAAACCGACGCCTCCTTCCTTCATCTTCTTCCCACCAGGCACGCAGTGTGGAGCAATCATGACATGATGGAGCACATACCTGAGGATTAAATGAAAGAGGTTTCGGTCTTAAATCTACAAAGGACCTATCTTCTTTACTATAACCATATTTATCACAAATAATAATAATTTCAATTTGAATCATAATAATATTAATAATAAGTAAAGTATGTACCGTCATATAGCTGTATTCTGAAGGAATACCAAATTCTCTTCCAGGTTCACTTGGCATGCGTTGGATGCATAATCCTATTAGACCCAGCTCTTGCATGACCTGTTGCACCAAAATGGTTCTTTTGTTTATCAGTGTCCACAACATGTGAGAGAGACTGTGTGTAATATCTATATTTTTTTATAAAAAAAAGTATGGTTATAAAAAAGAACTAGTTAGCATATATGTCATACAGGAGCAACACATGCAGGAATAAGGCCAAGATCTTCCCCACAAGTGAGCATATCAGATGCATTCATAAGAACAGGCAGAGTCTTCAAAGCATTTTGACGCCACATGCTTTCTTGTCGGTGGAAGTAGTAATCATAATACATTCTTTTCACAACACTTTTGCTGCTCCAAAACACACACACAAACCATAAGCAACTTTTTTTAAACAGATTTATGGGGCGTAAATAATAAGTTGCAGGCTTGTTTGAAAACTTATAGTCCACCGGTTTGTAAAATCACATTCCAAAAAAAAAACTGAAAGTGACACCATGGCCAAATTCAAGCTAATCAGGCACCTGTGCTGATCTAAATCCTTGAAACTCAAAGTGTCTTCAACATTGAAACGAGGATAAAACTTTCTTGGATCTTCTCGGTCTTTGATAAAGACCACATCCTGTGACCAAAAAAAACATTAGAGGACAAATACATTGAGACAAAAAACTGAGAGGAACCATACATTAACATTAGAGGACCTGTAAAAGATCAAAGAGATCCCGTCTAAGTTTCTCTTCGCCCTCCGTGAGCATGGATCTCTCTAATAATAGCTTTAGTTTGGATGAGAGTGTTTTCTCGGTATTGCACTCCTCTTTGAACTACATTTTCCCATAGAGAAGAGAAATTACTCGCAGCACATTTTAGAGGTGCACAGAAGAACAATTAGTTTTTGCCACTGAAGACACAAAACAGAGCAGATTTTATTTTCTTCCAAAGGAATCACACAACAAACAGCAGTTGTGACTCTTAAGTCTTAAGCGTAATTCTTCTCTGGTAACCTTGTTATTGAGATAAAGTTTACCTCATAAAAATCTTTTTTATACTCTTTTAAGAAATTTGAAGCAACAATAGTCCACGAATCCCCAAATTTTTCCTGCAAGTTAGCAAAGTAAAATGATTATAAATACCGGTATCTGATAACAACACATATTATAAACTTCATTATTGGAGACATAGGTTTCTCTATCAAGAATATTTAATGCTCTCTAATTTTTTTATCTAGTCATGACGTTTATACAAAGCTCCAAGAGATCTTAATTACAATGTAGTGAAGCATATCACACACCTTTAGCAACTCCAGCCGAATATATGGACGACACAAGCGGTCAAAATCCCATAATCCTTCTGACTCAAGCTCTTCCTAAAGAAGGAATAGCTCAGTGGGACATCATTACCTTGCAAAGACTCAATCACAAAATAAACAAAACAAATGTGTCACCTGGCTAATAGGTATAGATGGCCTAAATTTCCCACAGAGGCCAGTCACAGCATGATCAGGAAGCTCCCATATTCTAAAGAAGCCCAATATATGATCAATCCTATAAGCTGTAAAGTACTTACCCATCTGCAAAATCAGTTCATAATATTATAAATCTTCAAATAAAAGGTTACTGGATAAAGGGAACAGGAAAAAGGCTATATGTATATTAAGTTGTTACAAACCTGGGTTAAACGAGCTCGCCACCAAGCATAATTATCCTTAGACATTTCTTCCCAATTATAAGTGGGGAATCCCCAATTCTGCCCATTTTTGTCAAAATAGTCTGGAGGTGCACCAGTGGAAGTGTCCATGCGGAACAGATTTGGATAGACCCAGGTATCAACACTATCTCTTGAAACTCCAATAGGTAGGTCGCCTTTCAGCACCACTCCTTTCCTTTTTGCATATTCTGCAGCTTCTAATAACTGCCATCATCATATGCAGCATACACAGTCAATTTTCATCTACCAGAGAATGAGTGACCAGGGATACAGTCGTCAAATACCCAATATGAATAACTTTCAGTTAAAAAAATTGACTTACTTGCATATGCAAATGGAATTGGAGATAGTAATAAAAGCAAATTATTTCATAGTTAAAGGAGTCCTTCGACACAAGTTTCTCGAGCTGAAGAAACAAAAGCAGCACTGTTATTGGGGACGGAAAAAAAAGCCTAGCTACAAGAACAATTAATGAACATGCATACACAGATACTGTTAATATTTTCATATTGAAATATTTAAGGAATAGATATGGGTTTATAATACCTTGAATTGTCGTAGCTAATTGATTGGATTTAATCTTTGGCTAAGAGTATCACATCTAAATAGCTATCCAATTAGATTTAATCTTTTGTGTGGTTTGGCCCTTGAACATTATAATCCAGTCATCAACCCCAACTCAATTATGAATTTCATCACATACCTTCTCTTTTGAAAACTTAGAAAAACAACCCCACTGGCTGTGATCGGATGTTTCAAAGAAGTCTCGCAGAAAACAAAATGCTGCATAGGGCTTCAACCAATCCTGCCCTCAATGAATCAACATCGAGAATAAGAAAAATTGTTTTGCCATATTCCATGAGAACATATCCAAAAGGAACTCAATTTGAATAACGGAAATTTGAAGTCTTAAGAGGGATGGAGAAGAGACTATTATATGAAAACCTGATTTTCGGCAAAATAATTTTGGAAAGACTCTGAGCTTAATATCCTGTCCTTCTCTAGCACAAAAACTTTTTTGGCAATAGAAAGTTTTGTAGCCATTGTAGCTTCATAATCTACATCCTGCAGCTATTAAAACCAATCTAATTATGAACCAATTATATTATGTGTGTGCGTTATATATCGATAAAAATACCTTTACATCAAGCTGAGCTCTAGCTTTTTTTATCTCTTGCTGTGCATGATTGGAGAAATATGTCAGGTTTAACTCTTAAGTATTTGCGGAAGCATGTCTTAGACTTAAGAAAAGAAAATAGTAAGGAAAAGAAAGAAATTTGGGAGGAAAATCAACACTATGTTTGGTTCAAGGAATTTGAAAGGGAAAAGAAAAGAAAATGAAGTGAAAAACAGTTTTTCTTGTTTGGTTATAGATGAAAAGAAAGGAAAAGTAGAAGGCAAAATGTATTAAGAGGAGGGAAAACCAAATTCCTCCCAACTTGGTGAGGAAAATGAGAGAAAATTATTCTTTTCTTTTTCTTCCAAATTCGTTGAATCAATCATAGTGCTAAGGTAAAAGTGGAAATGTGATTTTCCTTCTGTTTTCGTTAAGTAAAAGATAAACAACACACTATTCCACCTCGTCCTATCATCCCCCCCCCAACCAGGGTTTCCTTTGTTTTCTATATAACAACCAAACCAAGGAGTTATTGAAAAGTATTTTCCTCACTAATTTCTTTATCAACCAAAGATTAGGAGAAATAGAGAAAATGAATAAGAGATGGAATCAACACCTCGATATCTTCTGGAATATCCTCAGAAAGTGCATCTACTCTCAGGTATATTGGGTGCAATGCAAATACTGATAGTGAGCTGCATAATGTGTGCATGAGAGAGAGGGAGAGGAAAAAACAAGGAGAAAATGTCAATATGTCATCATATAGCCCTCGTGTAAACTTCGAAACAGTCAAACAGCCTAGGTTTCATAAGCATGTCTCTTTAGTAAGTAGTTNCCCCCCCCCAACCAGGGTTTCCTTTGTTTTCTATATAACAACCAAACCAAGGAGTTATTGAAAAGTATTTTCCTCACTAATTTCTTTATCAACCAAAGATTAGGAGAAATAGAGAAAATGAATAAGAGATGGAATCAACACCTCGATATCTTCTGGAATATCCTCAGAAAGTGCATCTACTCTCAGGTATATTGGGTGCAATGCAAATACTGATAGTGAGCTGCATAATGTGTGCATGAGAGAGAGGGAGAGGAAAAAACAAGGAGAAAATGTCAATATGTCATCATATAGCCCTCGTGTAAACTTCGAAACAGTCAAACAGCCTAGGTTTCATAAGCATGTCTCTTTAGTAAGTAGTTATACACAGACAATTCAGTCTAACAATCTTGTGAAAGATTTTGTAAATTTGCTTTCCTTATGGGATAACTCTAATAGTAAAACCTCAGAAGCGAAGAGATACCTGTATGGGTATGAATCCCACCACATCCTGTGCACTGACGTATCATTGATTGGCAAAAGTTGAACCAAGTGAAAGCCAGACTCAACAGCCCAATCAACAAGCAACTTGAGGTCAAGAAACTCCCCAACTCCTACATCAGCTTCAGATCTCACAGAGAACATCGGGATCGCAACACCCGCGCCTCGCCAAGGAAATTCCTTTTAACATAGAAAGTCATGTGCATTTTCAGTTCATACTTCATCATTTACTGTTGAGGATCACACATTCGTCATCCACTGGGTCTGAGTGTATTGCTTAAGTGTTAGATAAACCTCATTTGTAGAGGATTTTTGGAGTGTAGGTCATTGTGCATAAGCATTAGGGCTAATTTAAAATGGTATAAAAAAATCCTGCTACTGTCAACATTATGCCGATGTCAAGGGACTCAAGGTATCCCATACCTCACCTCTTGGAGATTCTTTTGGGATGAGTTAGGGCCAGATTAAGATCTAACACTCTAACATGGAGAGATCCAAGAGATTAAAAGACATGTATTGTTAAGGGATTACCCGCATCATTCCATCTGAAAGGATCACATATTTTGGTTGACTACCATTAGTGAAGTCAAGAGAAAGTTCCCGATTAGCACCATGTTCCAAAGAAAGTGCTCCACCATTCCCATATTTGCAGTACTTGTACGTAAAAATCATTAAGGAAGACTGATTGGTCAGAAATGATGTAGTAATAGGAATTTCTAAATTAAGGCCCAATGAGAGCATGCATGCCTATCATATGAAGGCACCTAAAGGATATTTCAAAGGAAAGTCATCTTTTCCCATCACACAGTCTGCTTGCCAAAATGAGTCACCCGAGTAATTGAGCTTCACTCCATTTTGAACCTTCCATTGACCCAGCTTTAAAGAGCTACCAATCACATAAACCTGAAAATGTTGTGTCTTGAATCTTCGTCAAAACTGATAGATTATATCAGCATCATAGTTTTCCAGAAGCAGATTTCTATCTTACAGATGTCCCTTCATCTAATTGTGGGCAGCATATCTTGAACTGTATGATGACCGACTCTGTTCAAGCAAACAATTGATTGGAAAATTGCACATAACACACAGAGAGGAAAAAACCAATCTTGACCTGAGAAAGTTTTTACCTTCCTCATCAACTTTGCTCTGAATGGCCCCAAGGGGCATTTCAACATCTAAACTCCAACTTCTGCGGAAGATGACATCTTTAAATGCACTCTTGAAAGGAATATCATCAGAACCAGTCTGAAATTTAAAATTAAGCAAAATAATCGCTTTTTGAAGCAAATAATAAAGAACGAATACAACATACTAATCTTGGACCAACTCTAGGATATAACTAAGCATTATTGTCAAGCTTCAAAGTGACGTTGCGGTACTTAGGTTCCATACCTAAAGTTTAAATTGATAAGAGGGGTATGCTTTATATGTGGGTTGCATTTCTTTATATAGGGCCAATGTATGAGGGCTTAATACAATAGCATGTTCAAACTTTTAAAAAATCACCCCCCCCCCCGAAAAAAACGGAGAAGCTAAACCTGCCAAAGATCATGAAGCTCAACCAAAAGACCATCCTGGATCAGATCAGGCGGCAGAAGTAGTTTCCTACTCCTCCCAGCCTCCCATCTCACCACATTTTTCTCATCATCCACCACGTAATAATTGTAGTCGGTTTTGAATCCGGGAGGAACGGAAATGACTCCAGACCATATGAGCTCATCGCCCTGATGAGAAGGCCTTAACAACAGACCCTTTTTCACATCCCAAGAACCAAGCAATGCTTCCATACCACACACTAGCAGATGCTGTCCCCATTGAGTGTAATATGGTATCCTGAAGCTCAACCTAACTGACTTAAGAGACTTTTTTCCGGACAATAACCTCATATTCACCATACCCTGTAAGATCAAAGACCTACAAGTTATTCTCACGCGCTACTGTTATGCAAATCATTTGTGGGTATGAAAAAAAATCCGAATCGCATAGTAATGACTAAAGGAAGATCTAATCATTGAGAGAGGGGCACGAATTCCAAATTTTGACCACAAAAGAAAAAAAAGAAGAGATTTTTAGCAAGCCCAGATTGAAGTGAAAAAGATACCTGCTTTTCTTGATTGCCCTTTGCTACACTGAGGAATTGGGGAAGCTTATCGGGTAACGGCAAGAAGCTGAGAAGTAAAAGTATGTGAGAGAATAATGCAAGACTGGGGAGAAGCAGAGGAACAAAGAATCATAATCTGGGCAATTATGGGATTGAAGTAAAACTAATACTGTAATAGTCCAAAGAAAAGAAAAGAAGAGGAAACGTGATGAAAGGCTTGTCTTTTGTCTTTTCTAATAGAGATAAAAATATCAATACCATGATTCCATCCTTATAAGTATACAGTTAAAACTTTTGACTTTAAAATCAATTATTTACGAGGTGCAATTGACACAGGTGGGGGATGAGTTTAGATTGGGACTTGACGGGAGGTTTACCGGGGGTTAAGGGGTAGGAATCATCAATTTTATGAACGGAGGTCCGTAGGGAGGCAGTGGCTTCCGTGGCCACTAGAATCCAGTGGCCACGGAACCGGGCCGTAAAAAAATAATACTCCATTAGTAAGTAAGATGTATTTTTAATTCCATTTATTTTAAATTTAAGGTAAAAGTTACTCTTTTCGTCCCAAATTATAATGCATGTTTACTATTCACAAGGTTAAACTTCACTCACTTTCTTTCTCTATTTTCGTTAGCAATTTGATAAAATAAAATGTTATTGTCACTACTAGTTTTGTAGATCTTTTGATGTAGTTTTTAATCTGTAATTTTTATTTTTTAATTCTATACCATTTGTAATATAAAATGGTTTGAAAATAATTTCTGTCAAACATCGTAAACCGAAACAGACGTTATAAAATGGGATGGAGGTAGTAATTTTATTCACTCCCATTTAATATAATATCAAAAGTTTTTAAAAATAAATATGACATTATTCACTCATATATATATATATATATATATATATATATATATATATTGGTTCAGGTGAAAATGCGATCTTATGAAACAAATAAGAATGAATATGGTGCTTTAGATTGTGAGATCTAAGGGTCAGGATTGCATCAAAATTAAGTGCACCAAAATGGTTTGAAAATGCATCATGTCGAAATGCACCATAATCCTTTAAAAATGCACTATCTCAAATTTTGAGTGCAGGATGCAATCTGAGCCGCACGATACATCAAATCCAAAGGCTAGATTTTATTCTTATTTCTCTCACCAAGGTACATTCTCACTTGAATCGGTGTGTGTGTGTGTGTATAAGTTGTAATAGTACATCACTCTAATTAGTGGGACATTGTGACACCAGTTCAATTGGAACGACTATGCTGCTTCGATCGTAAAATTAATTGTTTATACCTCTTCTAACCACATCCTAAACATTTCTCCCATGTTTTCTAGTTCTCGCGCACCCCCGAAGCTTTCGAATTTAGGTCAATCAATACATAAGAGTAGATATAAAATACTCGTAGGAGCAAAAGCCTCTTCAGACTTCCATAGTCCAGTGTGCGATGTACTCCCATATCTATTTTTTTACATTTTATTGTACTTCTTTTGTATATTTATAAGTTAATGAGCAAAACCCTAGTCATGCGAATATTGTGACATGTTAGTAACATCCTCCCTCTGTCCCTCTGTATTTGTCCACATTTGACTTTTGGAACTGTTTATCTAAGCACTTTGACTTAGGGATGTAAACGAACCGAATCGAAGCGAATACCGATATATTTGAATTTGTATTTGTATAATTTTTTCGAATACGAATCCGAATCCGAATATGAGACGAATTCAAAATAAGATTTGAATAAGTATTTGATTAATATTCAAATGGTTATCGAATCATAAACAAATATTTGAATAATCATACTATGTAATTTATATGATGGACCAACATCAATTGATAATTTAACTTACGATACTCTTTATACTATACTATACTATATTCCGCATATAAAAACATTAATACATTTGTATCTTACACAAATTATATTTTATAAAATATAACTATTAAAAATCATATGCTTTAGATTTTTGTGTTACATTAATTTATTGAATTCTTAGTATTTTAAATACACTTTATACTATATTACTTTGCTTGACTTTTGATGTTGAAAACATGGTCTGACATATATATGTATATAAGCTTATAAGCTTATAGTAGGCTTAGCTTATATAGGGATAAACATAAACATAAACTAATTATAAGCTTAGTTTTTATTATAAACTTAAACTTAAACATATTGAATAACGCGAATTCGAATCATCATATTCGAATACAAATCGCGAATCGAATTTAAAATATTTGATTTGTTTACATCCCTACTAGTTTGACTCATCAAATTCTCTCAATGTGTAAGCCTAAATATAGTTATGTATGATCTTGTTTGATTTGTCTTAACATATAGATTATTAATATATAATTTTTATAATTTTTTAATACTACGTATACAAATTACAAGATAAAATGGATTAAAGAAGTGCATTGGATGATGTGCAAAAATGAAAGTGGACAAATACAGGGGGACTGAGGAAGTACTAGTCTTTGTTTTGAAGGATATTGTCACTTTTTATTATCATATTAGCCATTTTTTGTTTTTGTTCAATTAAGATGTTTTTCATTGTAGTATTTTCTTAACTTTTTATTAATTATACAAACACAAAAGATATCAATTTTTATCACAAGTATATCCGACCTAATGCCGAGACCCAACGAGTCCAAATCTAGTAAAAGCTTCAAGACCCATTGGATAAATGGATGCAAGTCAGGATCGAATTTTTTTTAAAGTATGGATATAGAATACTATGGACCAACCTAAACCTAATCAATTAACATGCCTAGCCGTGGGTGAAAGAAGTTTGAAGGTTGGTATATCTTGTGATAAATATTTAAAGTTTGTATGTGGAAATAAAAGAATGTTGAAAATTCGTACATCATTCATAAAACTTGCCCAAAAATTTCATTCCGAGTCCCATTCAACTTTTCTTAAATGTGCTGCTTATTTTTATTTGCCTGTCCCTTTTTTTTTGTTTGTCACAAGCTGCAAACCATGCATTATTTATTTTGTATGGAATATAGCTTCCCCATTTGTCCTCATAAGTCATCAACATTCACATAAAACTCCACTCACCCTCCAAAAGAACATGTTCAAATGTTGCAGACCAGTGATTCCCATTATTCTTAGTCTTCCCACCTCCTCGAAAATTCACAACTAAAGAAACAATTCTCTCCCATGCAGTTCTGTACAAATAACAAACAAATAATTTAAGGGCAACTCATGGATTCATAGAGATCAAGTTCACCGATTTCTGTGCTGAAAATTAGGGCCAAAGACAGGAAAGACATTGGGAACAAAAATGGTTGGTTTGTACATTTGCTTGATTCAATTTTTCACTCTGCCATGTTACGCAGGAGATCATAGTCATACATCAGCAAGAACGCATTCTCTCCGGCCTGTCCTCTGCGACTTTGACCTGAAAATGCATCTTACTGCTGAATTTATCATTACTATTTACACACAAACACACACACGCACACACAAACATGTACAAACACGCCGCCCTCTTAGCCTTCATCCTCTTTGCTGAGGAAATAATTCGTGGAAGCTGCTCTTTTTTTTACAATTGCAGGGTGGGCTAGTTTCTTGTGGAACTCTCTCTGCATCTAGTTATGTTGCTATGCATGTAGAGCTATTAAAAAGAAAAGGAGAGCCCATAGGCACGACGAATTAAGGCTACCTGTGGATGCTGGAATAAGAAATGCACATGATTAATTATTATTTTTTTTTGCTTAAACCATAAAGATAATAGGAATCATTTAAATAAAAATTGTTTACAAGATGCAGGATAGGAAGTCAAGTTTCCTAACCTGATGACGAGAAATACGAGATAAATTGTGCCTTGTCAGGGGGTTCTGCATCAGAAACACTATGACTTGATGACGATAATGGGGAAGGAACAAGAGAATAAATTACATGTGGCAGTGGGTCTGATGTGGGAGGAGGATCCTCATGTAGACTGGGTGCTGCTGATGGAGCAATTTTATTCGGTTCCAAATTGGTAGGAGGTGCAGCAGCCTGCATATGACTTGTTGGGCCAATCTTACATGGAGTGGGCCTATGTGCAGGTTCAAGAACCGGCATAGGTGTTGGTGAGGGCTTCCGATTCACACGCACACTTTTTCTCTGCGTTGGAGATGGTACAATTGAAGGAGCAGGACTGGAATCTTGGTGATAGTGGTGGTAGTGGTGGTGGTGGTGGTGGGGGTTGTGGTGGCGGTGATGGTGGTGACGGTGATGG